GCAGCCCAGGTGCTCTGTATCATGTAGTTAAGGGCTTGCATTACCTCTGCAGTGCGAGCCCCATGACATCTTGTCTGAGATTGTGTGATTCAGGTTTATCCAGTGTGCATCACAAAGGTAGTCCACAAGTTTAAGGCAATATGGTTTGCTCCAAAGAAGCTAGAGCTGGTAAGCAAAAGAGCAGAACTTGTTTGGGTCAGTTACAGATCCTGAATGTCCTTCCTAAGAATGAGTAGCTACAGCTGAATGCAGCAAACTTCACTGCCCTGGGAGAATGTCCACTACCCAGACTTTGCCTTTGAGTAGACAGACAAGCAATAACAGGGGGATGGGAAGAAAATGTATCCAATTTTTTGAGAGGCTTTTCTAGTGGGATTGTGGTCTGTTTTTAGGGAGGAAGAAGAAAGTAGGAAAATAACATGGTGTCCAGCTAAGCTTTAATTCATGCCTCTGAAAACAAGAGGAGGGGTCCATCAGGTCTTGGCCCTCTTTCACAGTGGAGAAAGACAAATGTGCAGAGAATGATGCAGGCCACCTAAGGTCTGTCTTGCTAAGGTCTGTGTGTCCTGTGACTACACAAGGGGTAGAAAATGCTTACCAGAACCCTGCATCAAAGGTAGGGCATTCAAGTAAGATCCTATGGGATGAACACTCCTTGGTAGAGGTGGATTGTCATGGCAATCTTTTCCTTCATTCCAGAGTGAAGGAGATCAGAGAGTAATGAGAGGATTGGGACAGTAAAATTAGTGTGGAGTGGGTGCTGCTTTCATATGGACACTTAGAGTGGAGTAATGGGGAGAAATCAGGAAAAAAATGGACTGGAAAAAAGTAGTAGAGAAAAAAAGAGAGTAAGCAGAAGTCTAGGACAGAGTGCTGGTAAACATTTGGGTTCCTCAGCTGGCCCAGAACAATGGTTGGAAGATGGGTGGACCAGAGAAGGATTTAAGGCCAAGCTCTGACTTGCAAACAAAATTCATGTTTGGATTTGACCCTGCTGATTGTCATGGGTGTTGCTGAGTTTACAGTTTTCCTCACTGGGGAAGGAACACGTAGGGACAGGAGCAGCAGGGTCAGGTGTGGCTGCTCACTACTTCAGGCTTGGTGTTTTCCTCTCTGTGGACTTTTCTCTGGGAAAGTCCATTGTTGCTACAGAATCATTTACTATCATTTTCCTTCTAACCTTTGTTCAGAGGATGGAAAGTCTGCAGCAAATCAGAGGGACTTCAATATTGGAGTTCATTAAATATAATTCATACTTGGAATCCCATGCATGCTTATTTTTATTTTGTTGAAATATGTTGCTTATCCTGGGACATGCCCAGGTGCATATATCAGAAGCAGTTTTCACTGCTTTTCTTTGTTTTAGTGGCAGCAACTCTAGTGTTATCTCAGATTCTACCTTCTACTGCAAAAGGAGAGAAAATCCCTTTCCTTCCGACGCCATTTTGTCTCTTAGGATTGCCAGAAGTGCAGACATTGTTGCTGCTATTGCATCTTCTCCCTCTCCATCTGTTTTTTGTTTTTTTTTTTTTTACTATATTATTGTTATTATTCTTATTTTAACGTCATTATTTTGAATACAAATGCTCAAAGCCTGTTCTCAGGTGCTGCAATGTACACATGCTTTGGGACAGTTAACAGCTTCAGCATCATGTTTATAAACAGATCCTGACACAGTTCACACAGAGCTCTGCTGTGCACAGCTCTGATGCAAAAACCTGGCACAGACACACTACAGTAGCATGTGGCAAGACACAGTATTTGACAGCAGCACGGTGGCCCAAGGCTTTGCACTGTGACCACAAACCCACCTCTAGACAAACATCATGGAGAGCTGAAGCAGAGACTGGTCGGGGCGGAAAGTTCAGTGATGATGGCAGTGAGGTAACTCAGGGATGGGGAGCACGTGGAGAAGGCAAAGACTTAGTGGAGGATTTGAAAGAAGGTAAGATAAAATGTGTCAGGCTGGGATGGTGACTACGCAGTAAGAATGAAAAACTGAAAGGCATCAGACAGATGGGGAGCCTTCACTGATTTCAAGTGGAAAAAGTGCCAAAATGAAGGAGGGGAAAAGCCATGCAAAAGAGTAAGCTGGAAAGGTTTTATTTCAAGGTTGCGAAGATCTGGGGCAAATCCATCATTAGTGGAGAGGCAGATGTACATAGAAGAGAAAGAAAAGCCAGTGAGATCAGTGAGCAGAAGCGATGGTCTCCAGTGCAGTCAGTCACGGCCACACTGCAGTGAGCCATGGATGTACACACAGGAGATTTAAATTAGAGCCAGTGCTGCTGCATAGGTAGTAACACCAGTGTTGGTGGTGTAGCTGCGCTAGCAAGGGCTGCCGGCAGTCCTGGAGGTAGGCCAGTGAGCTGCATCTCCACGACTTGAAGAAATCTTTTCAGGAAGACAACCAGAGCCACTCAGGGAGGGAGCAGCAGAAAGGAATCACAGCAGAGCTATTTTCTGTTCACAGTGGATCAGATACATTTCTTAATTCCCATATTTACATTCTCCCATGGTCCTGGCCCCTCTAACCTGCAGACACTGATCCCCCATGCTGGCTCAGTATCACCAGTACGTGTATCACCAGTATGAGCCTGTGGTACAGCCACCCTAAGGGCTTCCAGGTGGTCCATGAATGAGAGCTTTTCCCCTGTGTTAGGCTTCAGCACTCACAGGGCCAAGGTTGGAATAACCTCTCCCTCCACAATGAAAATGAAATGAAAGAGCCCTCCACCTCCTTCTTACAAGCAGAGTCCTGCCCTATTAATCAGGATGGCTGGAAGGGGGGTGCAAAGCAGGGGAGAAACATATCTTTGTGTCTGCTTGACAACTTTGTAAGAGGCAATGTTACCATGGCAATGGGTGGTCTTTAGCAAGAAGGGGAGTGAGCTATAGTGTCAGGGTGAGGAGAAGGGGGAGCCATGCTAAAGGGAGGCAGCTTGAAAGTAGAGGGGGAAAAGGGGAGAAGGGACAGCAAGGCAGTCAGTCATCAGTGGGTGATGGTCGGAGATTCAGAGATGTACATTCAACAAAGGGCAGGCAGCTCTGACAGCAAATCTGGGGGTTTGCATGGCATCCCTGAACACGAGCTCTCTTCCGAGCTGCTACAAGATGGGCACCTCTATAAGGATCTGCATCTTTCAGAGGGATCATTGCCTCTGGCAAAGGGGGCACCTTGCTGAGCCCCTGAAGCTTCTGCCTGGCCTGAAAGCCACCACTTAGATGTCAGCAGGCTGCTCGCCTCCATCCTACCCCCAAGTTCCAATGCATGTTAGAGGAAGCCTATTGCCCATCCCAAGACGACCACACACCATGGCCACCACAGAACAGTTGGTTAGCAACAGAAACCAGTTGTCTGGGTTGGAGCCAAAGAGATACTCCAGCGCTGCAGCAAAACGCCGCTGAAAAGCCGGCACTGCATGGGAAAGGTCTCCTCCCCACCTCGCTCGGATGCGGACGGAGGGGAGTTCCTCCGGTCTCGTGTTTTTTGCGAGGGGAGGGGCGGGGTGGCCAGATCGTCGCACAGTCGGATGATGGTGTGGTAGGTGGGGAGGAGCGGGAACAAAAGCTCAGCGCTGAAAGCAGAGCGTGACCCACAATCGCTGAGAAAAACCCAAACCCAAGAGTTTCCCGTGAGCTCCGCGGCGCGGCACAGCCTCTTCCAGGCCTTTCCGTGCGCCAGCACTGAAGCCGCTCGGCGTCACGGCCAACACGGCGATAACGTGGAGGTGCCCGGGGGCCCAGCAGTCCTCCGCTCGGGCTCCCGGCCGGGCTGTGCCGCAGAAGGTGCGCGGCCAGGCGGTGCCGGCAGGTGGCAGGGCAGCCCCGCGCCTCGGCCCGGCCCCGGGCGGCGCTGCGGGCACGGTGTCTCCGTGCGGGGGTCGAGGAAGCCCGGCGTGCTCCTCGCCTCGCCCGGCCGCTCTGCGGGGCCCGGAGAGCTCGGAGCTGGAGCTGCGGGCGTGTGCCGGTTCAGTCTTCCTGTGTCGTCAGCCGTGCGACGCGTGGCGGCACGCAGCGTGAAGCTGGGCCCGGTGGCGGCAGCGGGGAGCCCAGCGAGCGCCCTGCCCTGCGAGTTATTCCCTGGTAGTCAGTGAGGGAAGGCTGCTCGGAAAAGTGATGGGCGTTTTTATTATTATTAATGTCAGCCTGTTCGCACTGAGGTTAGATTACAGCCCCATTGTGAGTGGCTCGGAGACAGCCTGTACCCTGGGGAACACGCCGTCCGAACAGGAGCGGCAGCAGAAAGGGCAGGGAACGAGCAGAGCCAGAGGAGAGGAAGCGCTTTTGCCCCGGTTCGTGCAGCAGAAAACAGACCTCCTGCACCCATGCAGGCCCCTCATCCTTTGGACCGCACGGTCCTCTTGTGTAAGTGGAATAAATAACCTGTGACTGCCTGTTTTTTGGTGGTTCAGCATTTGTAAATGCTGACTGTTTACCTCTTGGTTAAAGCTAAACTTGCCTTCTCTTTCCCCAGCGCTTTGACATAGATACAGAGAGCTCGGAGCCCACTTGGGCCCACAGAGGCAATCATTAACCTGGTGGGGCTCCTAGCTGAGCCCTGTCTGCCCACGGGTGCCAGAGCTGTGATGGAGGAGCGCTGCCCACTCATGGGGCAGCCCGCAGGCTGTGGGACTGCTTCAGGCAGCTGAACTGTTCACTCCAGCTTACAGATCGATTCCAGAGATGTTTCAAGGGGAAACGAGATTTGCAGAGGGAACTGGCCTGGCCTTTTTGAATTCAACTGCAGAGTTAGTTAACAAAGTTGCAGGTTCTCAGTCTCCTTTTCTCTTTCTTTGCCAACTCTTTTTTTTTTTTTTCCTTTTCTTTTCCCTTCCTCAATATAAATACCCTGGGGCAGTTTCTTTTCTTTTTGGTATGAATGTGATGATCTTTCAGGCCTGCGATTGGCTCTGCGGCTTGTCATCGGGGACACACCTCCTGGCGAGGGGCCACCGCCTCCCCCCTCTTGTGAAAGCTTCCCCTTGTAACAAGTGAGCGTAATTACATCAGTTACTCACTAGAGCACAGACCTGCTTTAAATTTTGGCCTCTGAGCCTGTGAGAAGCTGAAGGACTAGAAAATGCGGTTTCAAAGGCCTGTAACACTCTGGAGCGTGCAACTCAAGCTGGGCTTTTCCCTCCCAGGAATGAAGACTCCCAGTCACATGTGAGGAGGAATGAATATCCCTATCAGCCACTGAAATGGCTAAGAGAGCAGAACTGCTGCACCAGAAGAGGATTTCCACTTTGCCAAAGCCTGGCCCACTGAAAAAAAATGCATAACTGATCCCCTTTGCTTCTAGAGGTACTGGGAAGGAAGATTGCTGAGTGAATTGCAGGGGGTGTGGGCGATCTCTGCAAAAGAGCAGAGCCAGCTAAAAAAAGGCATCTGCTACCAAAAGAAAATGTATTTCACCCAGCAGCCAGGGCCTGCAAGATAGGGCCAGACATATCAGGGGAAGAGCCCTGAAGAGCAGCATTTATGTGCTGGGTGCACAGGACAGTAGCAGTTTGACACCTATCTGATGGGTTGGGATGGGAACTTGCAGTGCTTCCGTGGGCTTGTTCCAGAAGGGGCTGAGTGCGAGTGAAAGCATTCTACTCATGCTCCAGATGGAGGGTTCTCCACTGGGTAAATCACTGCAGCACATAGGAAGCCAGTGCTGTCCCAGCTGAAACCCTGCTCCACACTGCCATGGCGGAGTGTGGCCAGTAAAGAGTTCTGAGTGGAGGAGAGAACTCACTTCTTGTCCCAGGACATTTGGTCCTTGAGGAACACAGCCCTGATGTATGTCAAAGATGCTACTGCTGCTTGGTGAACTGGAAGGATGAAGATGAGGTGCAGACCATTTGTCTGACTAAAGCTGAGTCCTCACATATAGGCATTTACCGAGTGTCAGAACTGCTGCTGTTCTGACACGAGATGAACCTGAGCCTTTTCAGACACGTCTTGCAGAAATTATACAAAGGAGAGACACCTTTCTCCTCTTGCCTCTAGCTATTATCTAGCACATACGTGTTTGCTGAGACCAAGCTACTGAACAGATTCAGCCCTGGTCTAGATCAGGCAGAGCAAACCTTGAGCTGGCTCTCTCATCTCACATGGAATCTTTGTTCCATGTCTCTGTCCTCCAGTTCTCCACCTTCCTCCAAAATAAAAATAACCACCTGCTTCCTACACTGCATCTGGGCTTACCATCGGAACTGATGTAACCCTATGAAAAATGTAGGTTTTGTTGAGACAGCATTTTCCCATGGAAGAAGAAGCTCCTTTGTTTCTCTCATTAGCTCTCAAAGCAACTGGCTCAATGACATGCTGTCTGTGTTTTCTCCCAGGGACCTGTTCATGGAGCTGCCAAGAAGCTTCCTAGGTCATGGTCCATTCAAAAGCTGCCAGGAGTTCCAGGATGGTGCAGGTCTGATGGTCTGAAAACCAGCAAAGAGCACTAATTCATTATGACAGCCTTGGAAATATAACAAATAATGTTAGGTGCTTTCCATGGTACCAACAGTTCTCTATATCATTTTTTGTGAGACTGGGATTGGAGTACCCAAAACTGAGTGTACCCTCTCTGAGATGTGCTTCAGGATGCCTGACATCTCTGCAAGCCAGGTCTTCCCTACCCCATGCATCCTATGGACTGGAGAGCTGGGATAGAGTGAACAATATTTAAGGTCTGGATATCTGGCACAGAGGGAGCAAGCAGAACAATGGGAGGTTGTGGTGCCAGGGACAGGTGTATCAGCAGGCCACAGAGCATTTCTACATTGCCAGATGTTCTATCCACCTCTGCCCTGACCTCTGGGCTGGGGTGGGAGTGTTTGCTCCCAGCTTTGCTCTGCAGGATGTCAAAGAACATTTACTTGCTTCCCATGCCTGTAAACATCTACCAATTCACCTTTCTTATATATGCTTTTCAGGTAAGATCAAGCTTTCATTCTTTCTATTACTATTCTCCCTGACGTTCTCTGCAAGCAAACTATTGGCAAGTGATGAAATTCTCTACATACAGACTGAAATGTAGGGACTGCATGGACAAAATAGTAATGCTAGTCATAATAAAAACAGCCCCATTCGCTTTTCTCTGCAGCTCGCAAAATAACAGCCCAGTTCAAATTCTCATCTGCTGTGAGATAAAAAGTGTGATTTACTCTATCGGCTATGGAGAGCAGACACGCACGGGGCAGTTATCTCTGGCCATAAACAAACTGGAGTGGCTTTGCCTTTTAACAGGCTCCCTTCTCCTCTCCTGTGGAGTGCTACTTTCCGCCTTACGTAACCCTCTGGGCAACTCCACTGACCTATTTTGTTTTAATAAACTTGAGCAGTTGGAGTTATGCACCCTCCACTTCTCAGATGCCATTGCCACTCCACAGGGCTCCCTTTCCTGCCCTGCTCCACAAGGCTGTGTAGGTGATGTCTTGGGAGAAGTTAAATAAACGGCTTCCATGTTCTGACACAGCCCGTATGTGCCAAGCTTCCCTTTTGACTGTTAGCCTTGGAGAAGAGAAGGAAAAACCGAGTTGTCGAGGAAAAAGCATAACCTTTCAGAAACAGTTTTTTATTACCTTCCTTATCGCTCCTTTAAGGTCATAAAGATTGTACCAAAGAAACTATTGAGTTTTCCAGGATTGCAAAATATTTTATCGATGATGCACATGAGGTATGCTGTTCCACTTTTCAATTTTTTTTTGGCATTAAATTTCCTTTTATGTTCAGGGATTTGATCTTAATGTTCCCTCCGTACCTTTCTGTTTCCATCCTGCTTGGAGGCAGTCAGACATGGTTAATGGTTTCTTCTAGCCAGGAGCCTAGAGTGAGCTGCAAATAGAAGACCTTGCAGGCATTAAAAAACAAGCCAACAGTGAACATGGGATCTAGAACTGTGGGCACCATGATTTCTTGAGAGGCTGAGCAGCTGGCATTGCCTCCCTCGTGGGTCTTAATGTGGGGATTGACTTCAGGAGAACAGTGACTGGCTGTTTTTTCAGCACTGGTTTTCTGTAGTACCTCATCTGCTTAAGTTCATTCAGGATATATTCTTCCACCAAAAAATATTACTAAAATTTATTCTGTTGCTGAAAAACATCTGTGAAAACCTAACACTGTAATACTTCTAATGGTTTAATGCTGGGGTCTGAGCTGAGATGGCCGCATACTGGTGTATCCACCAGGTTATCCTGGGAAACAGCTAGGGTTCAAATGCAGCAGGAGGCCATCTGAGATTCTCTTCCCCACATGCTACAGTGGAGGAGCAGATTAGTGTCCTGCTCATAATGAGTCCCTTACAAATCCCATTCTGGAAAGGGATATCCAGAGCTTTGGGAGAAACTCTGCAGAGTCTCATGAGAGGCCCAGTTCTTCACACACTGGGAAGCGTTGTGGGTGGACTGCAAAGCTCTACTGAATATTGAGTTAATCCAAGATTTACATGCCATAAGCCTGCAGAAATTGGGCTGTGGTGGGCTTTAGCTAAAGCAGTGTTAGCTAACCTCTTAAGAAACCCAGTTTTTCTCTCCCGTGCAGTCTTTCCGCTGGGTCTTGTTTTCCAGGTCCTGATCTTCATCTGGCAGAACACAGCTTCATCCCATTGAAAAGCCAGTGAAGCAGATGGGAAGATCTTGCCCCAACACAATTCTGCTTCCTGATTACATGTGTGTTTCCACCAGGCAAGACAATAAACCAAGCACTAGCAATGGAAGAGTAGCAGACAGGTGACTGGCACAAAGATCCTCCATTCATGTCTCCTGTAGCATTTACTATAAACAGAGGCCAGAGCAAGGAGATGAGACTCTTTGGTGAAGTGATGTTGGCACGAAGAAGAGGGGAGTCTTAAGTCAAGCTGAGTTGCAGGGGAAAGCTTTTATCACGGAAGTGCCAAGTATAAATCACTATAAGAGATTCCTCAATCAAGAGACTTTGGAAACAGGGCAGTAATGCCAACTGAAAATATAACAGAGCAATATTATGACCATGTGGATCATGATGTGCCAACCTTTTCATAGTGTCCCACATGGAGAAGCTTCCCTTTTCCTACAGGATTAGACCTCCTGCCTGGGGTGGGGAGAGTGGTTGGGAGCATGGGATCTGTGAGTGCAGCTGCCTCGCCAATCTGTGCAGGTATCTCAGCGTCGATTTAGGCTATGCTCATGTTTTCCAGGCTCTTTCTCCTGTAACACAACAGTATGGAAAGACTTCCCCTGTGACTGTAACATGAAAAACAGATGAAGGAGGGAACTGCTGGGGGAGCTTATAATTCCCAACTGGAAACATAGACTCTTGGATAGTGCCTTGTGATGCTGAAGGCACCCCCAGTCTCTTAACGGCAGCTTAAAGAAGTCTGATCCCTGGGCAGGAAGGTAAGGCCCAAACTATTCTCAACATCCAACTCAGACAACATAAAGTATCAATTACAGACTTCAAATCCATTTTTAAATTTTATTTTTTTTTCTCTTTTGAAAGAAAATGAAAATTAAATGTGAAGCAACGGCAATCTGTATCGGGGAATGAATTTCGGTATATTTGATAAAGAGCTTCTTTTTGTTTCGTTTGAAGTATCGAATAACACGTGCTTCCTGCCAGAGCATTTCAGAAAGTTGAACCAAACCACTGCCTAGGCATCTGGAACTAAAGCTTGGTAAGTGCTAAATCCACTTTTGAGTACTGTAACTCGTCCGTGAGTAAGAGACGACTATTCTTCCATTTCAGTTTATTCAAAGACTTGGATTCAGTGGCTTGTTCCTTCAAAGCTGAGAAACTGTGTGAGGTTTGGAAAAAGCAGACAAGCTTGTTTTTCCCCTCTGGTTTACAAGGAAAATAAGGACGAGAGGACAAGATCCAGCAGATATGAAATGTTGGGGTATATGGTGTCCTGGAACAACCTGTTTAACCCACCAGCCACTGACAGTACTTCCTTTGTTTAGTATTACTTTTTATTTTCTGTTTTTGCAATTAATGTGGTTTTTTCAAGTAATAAAAATTTAAGAGTTCAATAAAAAATGGTTTTCAACATCTTAGAGGATTCAAATTTCATTCTAAATGCAACCTGATATAAATCAATTCTAAAGAAAAACAGCCGTCCCATAATAAATTAGAAATGAATAATGCACAATTTTCCAGATAGAAAAATGCAATAATCAAGACCTAATAAAAACATGTAAAGCTGTAAATAAATACGTGTAGATAAAACTGTCTACTGTTAACAGTAAATAACAAAGTCAGTAGGCAGGCTGTGCATGGTTCGAAGTCAACAGTCTTAATGGTTACAGCCTGATGAGTATCAACCTTTTATTAGGGAAAATAATTAAGAAGGATAAATGGAGAAAAGTTTTGAATTAATATTTAAATCTAAGCTCTCCTGCTTGCTGATTTAATTGGGTGATTTAATCTGTTCTCTGAGGCTCAAATTTATCAGTTTTAGCCCAGTTTCCCTGTATTTACAGGATGGATGAGGTTTTATGCACCTGGAGTTTCACTTTTAGCTCTGTGAAATTGAAGCTAAACCTCCCTGAACTCAGAGCTCTTTCCCACCAGTCTGCTAGGAGTCTGGAGAAAGCCTTCAGTGATCCAGATTGGTGACTGGTCAGTCATTACAATCAACAATCAGTGCCTAGTGCAGTTCCTAGCAGTAGCTTCTGTCGCTGCCTGACACATAACTAGCAAGTGTGCTTGTAGCATTCCTGCAGAGGAACCAGGAAACAAATTGCTCTGATGATGGCATATGCTAGAAGCTTTAATTGTCCCTCCCCATGCTGCATCTCTCTGAATCTATCCAGTAGTGTCCTGTCCTGTTCCATCACGTCCTGTCTCCTCCCCTCCCACTCCCATCCCATCCCATCCCATTCCAACCATTGGGATGCCTGAGGACCTTAAACTCTGTTTTCATTAGGCTGTGTGAGAACACCATGTTTGTATAGGTGCAGAGTCCCACTCTGTGTGAACTTGCTCAGACCTTGGTGTGCACCACTGAGCACTATGTACCCAGGATATGCTAAAGATAAGGCACAAGACAAGTGGTAGTGACAGACTGACTTCCAGTATGCAATGAGATGATGAGACGAAGGCAGGCAGTGGTCAGGACAACAGTGTGCTACATCACATTGGTTCTCAGCTGTAAGATACATGCTGCATGTTTGTATCTCTGCCTATCTGCTAGTGAGCCCATTTCTGTCATGAATCAGCTTCTCCACCGAGGAGAGACCAGTGGAACGACATGTGGCACCTATTTAGTGTATTTACTGCAATGTATTTACTTTGCTTAACTAGTAATGGCACAGATCACAGGGAACTCACCGGGAAAAACATCTTCCTGTATTCCATGGCAAATATATGCACACAGTTGTCTAGCTGGGCTCCAAAATGACCCATACTTGTCATCCCCAAATTGAGTTTTGTTTTCCAGCCCACCCCATCAGTCTCCAGTTGCTGTTCATGAGCTCCTTCCTCTGGCTGTAGATGCCTATCTGCATAACTGGAATTCATGGCATGACCTTTGATTCATTCTGTCCTCATGCCAGACTCCAGCAGGTCTCTGTTATCAGATACTAAGGTCTATTGTAACCTGAAGTGCATGCACAAATTTACCCAGGCGGGTATGCTGGCATCCTTGCCTGATAGTTCCTCCTTCCCAGAGGAGCACTGGCATCTCTCAGCCTCCTTAGGGCCGCCAAGGCCTCTCTTTACATAAGGAAAATATGTTGGCACGAAAGGCAAATGGTTACGCATGCTTCTGCTATTTTCCCTTTCGGAGGGTAAATGCTCGTTCATATCCCATGATGTCATCTTTTGACACTACACATTGATGTGCCAGGCAAGTATGGTGTTCTCATCTGGTATCTGCCTCAGCCTGCAGGGGCCCTCTGTCCCTGGAGCACAGGGATTTGTTCTGATTCTCCTCTTCCGAAGTCAAAGGAGCATCGATTCCCCAGGCAGAGCCACAGGAGAGGGATGTGCTTTGCCCAGCATCAGCTTGAAGGCTGTGGCAGAGCTGGGGACAGAAGCCAGGCCTTGTGATTCCCAGCACTGTCCTTCCACAATACCATTGTGGGTTTTATAGTGTGCATGAGTTCTTACAAGCAGTCCTGTCTCCCAGGCAGACACCACAGTCTGGGACATGGCAGGGTACATCCCGTATCTGTTTGACCTGCTGCAACAGCTCCAGAAGCTGCAGCACAGCAAGTGTAAGGGCTGTATTGTAAGCAGGACATTCCTTTACTAGCAGCAGATGGGATGCAGAGAGAGCTCCTGTCCTGTCTGTGTGCCTCCAGAGATGCCTGCTAGGACCATTTGAGCCAAAAAACCCACTCTCATTTCCTCTAATACCCTCACTGTGTTCATCAGTGGTCGTTAGGAAGTGTTGCTGCAGTGAGTGGGAGGAGGCAGCATGGACCTTGTGTGACAGAGCCAAGTGCCAACAAGCTGGAGTGCCTCAGCTGATCCAAGGGGATTTTAGTTGAACTGCCTTCGCCCACTGCTAGCGAGTGTCAATTTGTCAAGCCTTGGTGACACTAGCTGGCATCAGGGAGTGCAGCAGGTTGACACGTGTGCTATCTGTGGGACTGCAGTAGCATTTCCCCCTAAATGACCATATATATCTATGCCTTTGCAGTCATTAAATGCAAGAAGTGCCTTTGGTGTATACATGCTCATTACAGTCATCCTGGAAGATGCTTTCCACTTGCCACAGTGTCTCTCAGCTTATCACACAGTGAAAGCAAGATGAGGCTGACAGCAGACTTAGTAAATCCAGCATTAGCCCATCATGAAGCGAATTCTGATGCCAGGTTCTCACTGCTTACGGATTTAGGGAACTTCCTGTTAAATTTCCTTCCAGACAGACTCCATACGGAATAGTATAGGGTTAGTGTCAGATTTGGCACTAATCAAATCTTAGGCACTTTTAGCAGTGCGAATTTGAAACCAGCACCTAAAAGGGAAGAGTCTTGTGGAGTGCTTGGCTGTGTGATAGCCAGGTGGCTGTGTGTGGAGTTAGCTTCAGATTGAGGTCTCCTGATATGTTCCTGTGGAAAGGAAATAGAGCAATGCTCTACAGTAGCACAGTAAGGCTACCTCCCATGCTTGCTGCTTGTTCTCACATGGGTGCTGCGTGCTGTTCTCACGCAGCTTCACACTCCCTGGTTATACATTAGCAGTGACACATTCTTTAGCTCAGGTTTGAGTTGGGTATAGATTGAGGCCCAATATAACAAGCTGCAGTTGGGGAGAAAGAAAACATCACCAGGGATCAAATATTTTCTGGTCTCAGATTAACAGACAAGAGCTTGTGACAAACCACTGCTGCTAGTCACTGCTATTCATCGTTATCTATTGGAATCCAGTAGTGCGAGAGGAGATGAGGTCCTTGGGTCTAAAGGCTTTCTGAGATGAAGACAGCGAGCAGAATCACAGAATCACAGAATGGCCCGGGTGGGAAGAGACCTCAAGGATCATGAATCTCCAGCCCCTTACCACAGGCAGGGCCACCAACTTCCACATTTAATACTAGACCAGGCTGCCCAGGGCTCCATCCAACCTGGCCTTGAACACCTTCAGGGACTGGGCATCAAGCGGGCCCTCTTGGAACTTTATCCCCAAGGAATAGAGCGCTGTCTGGGGACATGGGCTGCTGTGCTGTGCCTTTGCTGAGGGCATTAGGGCCCCAAGGATGATGTATCCCTTATGGAGGAACCAGAAACTTAGCAGAGCAGGTGAGGAGGAATGGGCATAGCCAGAAGTGAAAGGAATGATTTGGTGTGGGCTCAACAGAAATGATAAATTTGAGACGGAATAACAAAGGTCCTACACATGCATCTTTTGACCCTTTTGCTTCCCTTGCCCTACAAATCTCTGAAAGCACTGATGGTTCAGAGAGCCTCTGCTCTGGGCACAGATGTCTGGGGACAGGGGAGCGGGGACAGTGCCCATGACAGCCAGCTGTTCATACCAGCCATTCCTGCTCCAAATTCAGAGTGCCCTGACGGCACGTTTAAAGGCTGGCCTTGTGTTTTGGCCCATCTCTCTCAGCCTAATCCACTCGGCTGGAACACACTGCAAAGTATCATGCTGTTTGGAGAGAGGCCTTCAGCATGTGCCACGCTGGACAACCATCCCCAGCCACTGGGTCAGCTTTCACTTGAGACCTAGCTGTGATATGCTCCCTGCTAAAAGGCATGTGGTTAGCTCCACTAGACCTGGACTGAACATCATGCCTGAGCAAATGATGCCCCCCATCTGTGTCCACAGCCATCTCTTCTCAGAGGAAGAAATGAAGAGTAATATCAATGCAGTCAGATCCCAAATATAATGGGCACCCAAACCAATGAAATTTCATTTTTTATTATTTAAAATCACATAAGGAAAATACAGGTAGGGACTAGAGGAAGAAGTAAAGCCAAAACAGATCGAGTTAGAGAGCTCCATCTATCTCTCCAGCTGGCTTTGGCTTCTGACAGCCCAGTCTAAATCTTTACACAGGACACAGGGCAGGTGATAGCAGATCACATTGCCTCTCTCATCATCTTGAATGATCAGTGGAAGTTTTGCTAAAGCATGAAAGTATAAGCTGATGGAGAATATTAGCTGCCACCCTCTCCTCCCCTTTCCCTCTCACTTTCCTGCTTTATGGATAGCAGCCACGCTGTGATCTTAGACCTAAGAAAGATAGCCCTCCTGCAGCCCTCTTTTAAACAGATGTGTGGCCCAGGGGTAGAGATGAGGCAGAACAGGTCGTGGGCAGGGTGTTGCTGACACATCCTTTGGGATTTTCTTCAATGATCTCTTTTTCTTCCTCTGACTTCCTGTTTTGTAAAGTGTTTGGATACTCTGTGAGGAAGAGGTGGAGATCGACATGGGGCTGTATAAACCCTCTGGAAATTATTTGCAGCCTAGAAAATAAAAGTATGGACTCATCCTCAGTCTCTTCCTTTTTAATTGCATGTGTATCTCAGGGACCATAGCACTTCCAGCACATCAGTTGGTTCAGA